TGAGGGGTTTCTACCCTGCTCGGGTTCAGGTAGCCTCCCCCAGGATGGCTCTGCTCTTTTAGGTTAGGAACCAGAAGGAGACGTGTGGGCCACCATGGCGCACACTCCCCAGTGTCAGGAAGGTCTGGGCACTTGAAGCAGTGACACTGGAGAGGTGTGGAGTCCTACAGGCGCCCTTCCATGCCCAGGCTCGCCACAGCCACATGTGCCACAGGGGGAGGGGTCCCTGAGGACCCCCCGTGCTTACCAGCTGCCACTCACCCGAGGTAGATATAGGTGAAGAGGAACAGCAACATCAGAGAGGACATGATCAACCAGCCATGGATAAACTAGACGAAGAAACAGGCAGAATGACCACACGGTGTCCCAACCTCCAAGTCACAAGGCCCCCGGGTTCTAGGGACTGACGCCCAAGCCTGAAAGTCTTTCTAGTTAGGCTCCTTCATGACCATGTTGGAAGGTACTAGGTGACCGTTTTACAGAGAAGAAAGGCCCAGAAATTCAAGGAGTTCTCTCAAGGTCAACCAGCAAGTATATAAAGATGAAACTTCTTTAGCTCTCAACACCTGGACCTCCACTCACTCACTCAGAAAGATATGCTGGGTCTCCTACATGCCAGGCACATTCTAGGCCCTGGGGCTAAAGCTAGCAAAGTCTCTGCCCATGTGTGGTACATCCCAGCATGAGGACAGTTAGACGATAAACACATAAACAAGTATTAACAGGGAGTGGTAAGGGCCATGAAGAAAAAATGGACAGAATACAGTGATAGGAGATTCATTAAGGATGCTGCTTTAGAGTAGCCAGGGCAGGCTCCTGAGGGAGCTTCTTTTGAATACAGTCAAGTCAAGGAGTCCTTTCCCACATGAGGGGCAGCTCCTCAGAAAGACACGTTCCTTTCCTACTGGCCAAACATAGGAGGGTGGGCTGATTCTAAACCAGTCCCTCAGCCAGCCATCAGTGGCATGGTGGTGTCACTCCTCTGGTCTCGCCCCTGAGGACGTACCCAGCTCGGCCCACTACGGACCTCAGGGAGACCTGGTCTACCAGGAGTGAAACCAGCAGCCTTGGCCGTGCTGTGCACAGCTGCCTTTGGAACGTGGTGACCCCTTCATCCCAGCCACCTCTGCCCACCTGAGGCTACCATCATGGCCTGAGTGTCATGGAACCTGCATGTAAACCTTACTGAATGGATGGCTGAGCTACCCCTCCCCTTTTTTAACTGGGGAACAGTGTGTTTTTCCAGGACCCATCAGCTCCAAGTCAAGTAGTTGTTTCAAGCTAGTTGTGGAGGGCACAGCTCAGTGGCCCATGTGGGGATCGAACCGGCAACCTTGGCGTTATGAGCACTGCACTGTAACCAACTGAGCTAACTGGCCGCCCCTGAGCTGCCCCTTAACGGTCGCTGGGACTGGTCACCTGACACCTGCTGACCACAGCAGGTGTCAGTCACTTCCCACACCCTCCATGCTCCTAGCTGGCTTTCATTTGTGCTGTTATCCTCTGCTCCAGACAAGCAGCCTCTAGCCTGTTTCCCACTGACCACTGCCCTCTCCACCCCAATTTAAAACTCAGCTTCACTTACAGGTAATTATTGATAAGCTCAGCTCCAGGACACTTCCTGATGGCCTTTCCCACCACTCACTTCCACCTGAGATGGTGCTCCCCTCTCACTACCTGCTCCATAGGTGGGGACAACCTGAATACAAACAGCTGCACATGCCTGCGAGTGAATGGTTTTAAACGAGGTAATGCCGAGTTCAACTTCCTTTCAGTCCTCAGGGCTTCAAAGCCTTCCTTGGGAGAAAGGCCTGAAACCCACGTCTAACAGCTCACAGCATCTCTGCAAACACTACGCACATGATGCAGACCTCCTTTCCCACCCCTGGGGCCACTGCACAGCGACAGGGGGCTGCCCAACCATCTCCCAGCACAGAAGACCCCAGCACAGCATCTGTACATCCCCCGCCAAAAGGGAAATGGGAAAATAAAAATAAACCTGGAGGGGAAGTATGGGGTAAAGGGAGCCTGAAATAGAACATCTCACTTCTTCAGAAGGAGAAGCAAAATAAAATTAACTTTAAATATGAGAAGTGACACCCTGAACACTGCAATGAGGAACTCAATCAAGTGGGATTATGTGTAAATTTAAACGACAACAGCATTGGGTAATCCATGCTGGGAGGCTGGAGTGGGGTGGAAAGAGTACTAAAAATCAGAATCTATTTTGCAGGAAAAAAAGGAACTCTTATTTTTTTTTTTTTAAGCCAACGGTTGGCGCCTAGAGGCACCCTGTGGTGTGTGGACAGGAGGAGTGTCAGGCAGGTTGGGGGCGGGGGTGGGCGCATGGCCGGTGCTCACCTTGTAGCAACGGTATTTGTACAGCACGACCAGGAAGATGGTCATGACCACGATGACACTGATCATGATGAGGGTGTTGAGCAGGGAGTTGAGGAGGCGCTGACCCACCGAGGGCGTGTCCTCAGTGAACGGCGTGTAAATGCTGGAGGAGGAGGCAAGGTGTCCACTCCCTGCCTGCCCTGCACGCCCCCCGCCCTGAGGGAGCCAAGGACGGCTGGTGGAGGTGCTCCGGGAACACCCGCCTTGGCGGAGTGCTGCCCACCAGCTGCCGGGCCCTCCTGCCCGTCTCCTGGCCCCCTAACCTCAGCCTGATGACTGAGCCCAGGGCAGCAGTGGGGAAGGCCCCCTGCACCCACTAAACCCTCCCCTGGAGGTGCTTCTCCTCACCCACCCCACTCCACTCTGGTCCAGGAGACTCAGCAGTCCCCACACCCCCATCCAGCCCAGGATGTGCCCCCACTGTTTCCTCTACCCCACTCGGAAGCAAGTCACTGATGCCTCACTCTGTCCAACGTGGACAGCCGGAAGCCAACTGCCTGCGATGTTCTCAAGCTCTCTTAACGCTTTCACCTGTGCTGCTCTGAGTCCCCCAACAGACTGCAAGCTCCCTGAGGGCAGGGGTTTCTCTCTCTGTTCCTTTCTGATAAACAACAAAAACCTTAACAAAAACTCCCTAACTGAAAGAAAGATGTTTAGAGAAGGTACTCAGCAGTGATGAGACACGGGGAGGTGGGGAGGACGGGAAGCTTTCTGTTTTCCTATGTGCTGCTTCTGCCTGTGTTCTCGTTACTAAAGAAAATCATCCTCACAAGCCTGAACGTGAGCTAAGTCATCTGGGCCAGCCACCTCGCTTTACATTCATGGGAGCAGAGGCCCAGAGAGGAAGTGGCTTGTTTGCAGTCAAGCGGTGACAGGTGGCACAGCCATGCCTGGGGCCTGGTGCCTGGACACTGAGCTCAGCAGCGCCTTGTGTGCCTTCTGCAGTAAAGCCCAGCGTGCTGGGAGCTGCTTGCCCTAAGGCCTTTACACAGAGCAGCTCCCTTAATTCTCCTGATAACATTATCATCAAACCCATTATACAGAGGAGGAAACTGAGGTGGAGAGAGGTTAGGAATGTGGCAAGGCAGTGGATGGGCCGGGGCAGGGATGTGGGGGAGGTCTTCGCCCCTGCTCCTTGCCGCCGCTGGCCTGGAGCTGCAGGTGCAGTGACGAGCAGAGGCTGCAGCCCCCCTTCCCCAGCCCCACTTCCTACCCTGCCCCAGCCTCCAACTCACAGCTGTCCGTTTTTCTCCGTGTAGAAGCGCACAGACTTGATGGTGGCCACCACCACGACCATGCACAGGGTCACAGGCACAAACAGCATGATCACGTGCTTCGCCCCGTATTTGAGGGTCAACTCCTCCTCCAGGCCCGGCGGCCGCCCAGGGACCCCGCTGCAGACATAGCGGTCAGCTTCCTCCTCACGGCCCTCCTCACTGTCCTGGCTTCTCTGTGGGAAACCACACTGTGAGGGCCACGGAATGCCCCCCCCCCCAGGGTTGGTCTCCTGACTGACACAGTGGATGGGTGTTTTGGGACAGGAAACAAGAAATCTGAATGTCGCTTTCTGGATGGAAGCACCAGTCTATGGGCTGTAGTTTAGATGTGGGAGTGTTGCACATCCCAGGACATTTGAAAAGTTTATGAAGACACCTAGAGAAGATTGAGAGGTGGTACTAACCACCCCAGATGCAGGAAGGGAGGCCGCAGCAGCTATACAAGAGGGTGGTCCGAAGGCCCAGGACTCAATGGCTAATGGGTTTGGAGCACATCTAAAGGGCTCACCCCTGCCCCTCAGTACAGGGACTCAGGACACCATTCAGCTATGCCCACATGGCCACACTGATTTGGGAGGAGACAGGCCAGGTGATAGGAGGACACCAAAGAGTAAACCTTTTTGGGTGACAAATCACAAACTGGAATAGTCAGCACGCATAAGGACTCTCTTTGATTGTAACTATGACACTGGGAATTTGCAGAGAAGAAATTACTTTGAACTCTTTGTCCCCCAAAATCAAGCATGCAAAATCTGCAGCTCCGAACCAGAGAGGCTAACCAGGCATCAAACATGTGGGCTACGGGAAGTCAGGAGAGTACAAATGAGTAAGCAGCCAACGAGGGGGCAGGGAGCCTGCCAGGTGCTGGTACAGGCGGGTCTGCAAGAGTTTCTGTTTTGGAATTGTGGCAATTCAGGGTCATTAGCTTCCTTGTTAATTACATTAATAGCCAAAGCCAAAGCCAAATGAAGCAAAAATCTAAAACGACTATTGCTCTGATTATCAGCACTTTGCAAAGAATTCCAATCTAGATACTCGGCTAAGAAGGGAAAAAGCAAAACAAAAACAAATGGTTACTGAACAGGAACTGAAACAACTAAAAGGCTCAAGAACTTCCAGGAGATTAAGATGAAGAAACTAGCAAGACAAGTCTAAGGAGTAGCTAGCTGGGCAGTGGCCTTCAACTGGGGAGCTCCTGCTCAGAGCACACAGGAAAATAGAATTTCAGGAAGGGGGATTAGGGCGGGCTGGAAGAAAAAAATTCCACGTGGGAAGGTTTTTAAATACTGTAAAGGGCAAAACGGAGAATGAGATTCAGGAAAATTCAGACTCTGTTTTGCCCTGATGGGGAGGGAGGCGGCTCGTCTGGGTGACGCTCCCAAGTACACCCCCATTTCATAAAGTCATAATCTCCCGTCCTGTGGACACAGAGATAAGATCACACTGCAGCCCACCCTCTCTACTACGGCCTCAATGCGTGTGTCTCCCCAGAATCCACAGCTGAAATCTAAGCCTCAATGTGACAGTATTGGGAGGCGGGGCCTTTGGGAGCTGATTAGGTCAAGAGGGTGAAGCCCTCCTGAATGGGATCAGTGCCCTTGTGAAAGGGACCCCAGAGGGCTCTCCCACCCCTTCCACCATGTGAGGACACAGAGGAAACAGCTGCCTATCACACGGGAAGCAGGCCTTCACCAGGCACCAGATCTGCCAGCACCTTGATTTTGGACTTCCTGCCTCCAGCAGAGTAAGAAATACATTTCTGTTGTGTCCAAGCCACCCAGTTATGGTATTTTTGTTATAGCAGCAGGAACGGACTCAGGCACATCCCCAGCTCCAAAGTCAAACACGAATCAGGTATGCTTAGCTCTTGGTTATCACGTCTGCCATCAGTCAATGAGGGTCTCCTGCAGCAGCTCTCCTCCTGTCATCCTTGAGCCTGTGCTCCCGGTCCCAGCACCCAAGCTCACTCTCCCCTTCCTGCACTAGGAAGGCGAATCTAAGTGGGAGGGGCCTGGGGCGGAGAGAATCATTTAGTCCCACTGCAAAGCTGAACTTTAACAGGCTGTGAATGTGCAGAGTCTACTATGAGGCCCTCACAGATGTAAGAGCCTGTGTGGGGGCCCCCCACCCTTCTGGCCAATTCTCACCTTTACTCCCTCACCACCCACCCCCGCATCAGAAAATGTCTGCTCCCCACACATTAGGGACAGGAAGCCCAGCGGCCTGTTTCAAGGCCTCAGCCTGCTGGTGGGAACCTACCCACTGAGCAGCATTCTCCCCGTCCTCCAGGCCCTGCCGGCCTTCCGGGCAGGAGCGCGGTATGGGGCTCTCGGCCGACATCAGGGACGTCCGCTCGTCGCACACTTCTTCCTCACTGTCAGAGGCCATGAATGTGAGCATGGCCCTGCCTCTGGAAGTGCCTGGAGAAAGGAACACAGGAGGGTTTGTCCCACTGCCCTGAGAGGTAAAGGCCGTGGGGGGCTGAGGGATGGCCAGAGGCAGTCCAGAAGATCTGGACACAGGTCCTCCTCAGCAATGACTCCCCAGGACACCGTGAAACGACTGCTGTAAAGCAAGTCTTCCAGGACTGCCTCTGAGGCTGTAGTGGCCTCGAGAGGGCCTGGCCTGAGGAGATCCAGGCCACGGGGGCAAAACGCCCAACTAGAGAAGTCAGGAACACCGCAAACTGTCAGCACACTCACTCATTCATTCAATCAACAAACATCGGCTGAGCACCTACAATGTGCCAACAACTGTGCTGGGCTCTGGACATATGGAAATGAGCAAAAAACATACTTTTGTCCTTAAAAAACAAACATATAAAACATCCAATGTGACAAATTTAATAATCCAGGTGTTCACCACGCTGTACAGAAGCACAAAGATGGGAGTAAATCTCAGAGATCAGGAATGTTTTCTAAAGAAGATCACATCGTCTGATGGGAGACAGATTATTTCAGGCAGGAGGGGATGGCAGAGGGCATGACAAATGTCCCGGTCGGGGCCTGGCAGTGCTGGGCAGGGTGGGGCTGTGGAGGTGTGAGGGGTTTCCTGCCATGTTGAGGAGGTCTACGGTGTCCCCCGAGAAATGTGACAGATCAGATCTCTGTTTAGAAATGTCACTCTGCACTGACTGAAAAAGGAGTAAAAAGCAGGGAAGGTGACCCCCGCCTTGAAGGCGGCAGCAGGGTGGATGCATGTGAGGGCACAGAATCCAGAAAGGGTTAGGAGGTAAACAGACAGGACTGGGAGTGGGGGGCAAAACAAAGGGCAGAGTTCAGGACGAGACCAGGCACGGAGTAAGATGGGGAGGCAGGAGAAGAACGGGTCAGTGGGAGACTGTGAATTTGATCCAGGAACCTGTGAGTGTCTGTGGATTAAAAGGGAGAAGCTTCTAGGAGGCGCTTGAGGGTCTGGGCTGCAGGGGAGGGAGGGAGAGCCGTGAGTTTAGGAGGGATGGCCAAAGCCGTGAGAGCACATGCTGGGGGAGACAGAGGTGGGAAAGTACAGCTAAGGCAGAACCAACAGGGAAGACGGAGGCCGAAGGGACTACGCAGGAGGGAGGCCTGTCCCCAAGGCGGCTGTGCTGCTCTGAGAGGAATGTTTACACAACAGCTCCACCAGAAGCGGCCCCAAGGGGATGGGAAGAGCTCCCGACAGCCCCTGGTGGATCTGACCATCCTTACTGACATCCTGGGCTGGGACCGCTGAGCCATCACCAGGGCCAGCTCTCCATCTCTGCCCCCAGGAAACCCTCAGGCCGAGCTTCACGCCACTAGGGACACACAGCCCGGTCTGCCCTCTGCTGAAAGTTAGTCCCCTAAGGTGGTCACCTCCCGGGAATTTATGATTTTTAAATGAAGCGGGCTAATTCCTTTCACTGAGTCAGCCTCCGTCCACCCCAGCAGGGTCTGTGGCCGCCACTCTTTGAAGAGAGGCACTGAGGGCTGGGGCCTGGATTATTCCCAAGTGGACTGCAGCTCTACCCCCAACTACAGGCACACGAGAGACTCTCTTCTGTCCATCTCCTCACCTTGCGCCCATTCCAAAGGGTTCCCTGTCGAAGTCACAAGGATTTCAAAATGATTATGCTCCCCTGGGTTTAGGATGGATACGTCAAGTAGCAACAGCAGCAAGAAGCAAAGTAAGATGACTGCCGGAGGGGTGCTGAGGACACTGTGCTACTGGGGTTCAGATCAGGAGGAGGCACAGCCTATCAGCTGGCCGCAAGGATTAGATGTCCCAGGTCTCAAGGAGTAAGAGGGAGTGAAATGGTAGGTAACTAAGGAATCTCCTGCAGAGATGGGAGGAGGTGGGGCATCCTGGAAAGTAATCTGGTACCTGAACGTGTGTAGGGGGTACCTAACAGGCCGACTCTGAGAATAGGGAGCAAGCTGATGCAGCTGACACGTGGGGACCTGGGAGGCAGCGGTGGGAAATGAAGGAGCAGAGGTGGGGTGACCATCCCAGGCAGGGGCGTGGTACGTGACCAAGGAGTGAGAGCTGAATCCAGCAGAGAGGGGCCTGCGAAGCCGTCTGAACAGAAGAGGGGTGTGAACAGAGTGAACGTTATGAAAGTGGGGTGCCAGCTCAGCAGCATTCACCAGGTGGGGTGTGGGCCTGCCCCTCTCCGCTGGGGTCCCCCTAAGACTAGGCTCAGGCCAGGGCCACAGGTGGGCCAGACCTTGGACCCAGCAGTCAAGCCCAATTTGGGGGACAGAGCTTTGCAGCCCCAACACACTGAAACCTTGGGAAGTTCTCAGCTTGAGTTCCATCTTCTGTGATAATGGAAGAAACTACCTAACGGAGGTCCAGGAGAAGAACTTCAAAGTCCTCCTCCGTGAGGCAGGGTCTCCCTATGTGCAGCTTAAATCAACACCTGCTTGGAGCCAGCAGTTTCCCTCATTACTCACTCTGGTACCGGGGAATTCAGTTTTATTCAAACAGGGGCACCCGAAACAAAGGTGTGGCTGAATTTTTGCAGAATTGTGTACCCCTAAATGGCATTCCATCTGGAGCAGAGCCTTAGAGGGGATGTGAGACTACGGTGGCTTTACTAGCTGTTTTCCAGCATGCCAGTTTGGCTTGGGGTGTGAATTAATAATTTAGTGATGATCTTCCCACACCTCTGGAGTGCCTGTGATTTATCTTCGCAGATCAGGAGTCCCTGTATCTAAAATGTCCCCTCACAGGGCGGCAGCCCCTGAGGGCAGAGAGTAAGCTCACCCTCGGGACCACAGCAGCTGCCTCTTCTCCTGGAAACCCAAATAGCAAAGCATGAGGGAGATGAACAGGGAGTAAAGATGCTTCTTGAAAGGAGGAAGGGAGCTACGGGGAGGGTGGTGACAGAAAAGCAGGGGACCCAGGATCAAGTAGGGGTAAGTCCTTCTGATTTCCACTTCTTCAGCCAGCCTCTAAGAGCTAACAAGGTGTCCCTCCAGAAAGCATTTCTGCTTCCCTGAACGCGCCCGGGAAGGGTGAGCTTAAAGGACTGTGACCCTTCCACGTGGAACTGCACCGGACAGAGGGAGAAAGGTCAGAAAACTGCAAAACGTTCTTGTCCAGCTACCAAATGTAATTCACATATGGCCTCCTCACCAAAAAACAATTGCTCCCTGAGCAGATTCCTTCCTCCATCCCATTTGAAAAAATTTCTCAAGGGCCGGCCGAGTGGCGCGTTGGTTAAGAGCTGGCTTGGGACGCCAGAGGGCCCCGGTTCGGATCCCACATATGAGGGCCAGTGACACTGCCCTCTACAGCTAAGATGCTGAACAACAGCTCAACCTGGAGCTGGGCTGCCGTGGGTCGCCGGCGATGGCATAGGCTGCAGCCCCTGTGGCAGTGGGTTGCCTTGGGCTACCGTGTGTGGCCAGCAAGCCGGCGTGAGCGGCCAGCAGCCAGCATGAGCGGCCATCCAGAAGCCGGCGACTGATCTGCCTCGCCAGGGAAGAGCACAATGATGGTGCCAACTTGGGCCAGTGAAGCAACGTCCTCCACAACTAGACTGAAGAACAAAAGGACAGCAACTTGTCTGTTCCCCTTCCCCCAATTCCCCAACACTGTTCCCATAAAAAAATAAAATTAAATTTAAAAAAAAAGGAAAGAATTTCTCCAAAGCCTTCTCCGAAGCTGGGCCCAAGGCTCCCAGGAAAGCAGGGCACAAGCTGAGGGGGATCAGGGAGGGGCTGGTCTTGGCTGTCTAAGCATGGGAACTGTGTAATCCAACCCTCTGGGCCTGGGGGTTGGGAGGTGACAGTGGAGGCTGCTAGTGCCTGAGGGCAGGACTTAGGAAAGGCTGGATGCCTTAGGATGCTGTTTCTCAAAGTGGTTCAGGCCACCTAAGGTGGGGGGGGGGGGGGGGGAATGTATAGAACATCACCTACTGAGCCCTGACTATGCACTGAACACAATAACCCTAGGAGCTAAGTACTGCTGTGCTTCCCTACTTTACCGATGAGGAAACAGGTTTAAAACGTGATAGGTTCAAAGTTACCCTTGGACCAAGGTGGCCAGGTTCCATGCTCTTAAACACTATGCTAGGCTGCTTATTTAAGACTTATTTAGATTCCCCAGCTCCATCCTGATCAAAGGTCCAAGGGTCTGCATTTTGTGACAGTCCCTGGGTGATTCTGCCGCTGGTGTTAGACCTTCCCTGCGGCTGCCCCAGCCTGAGCCCCCAGCTCAGCACTGCAAGTGTCAGGTTACAGTCCACCTGCCTGTCACCTGGGCACCCCCACTGCTCCACACTACTCCGCTGAATGGGCATGGGGAGAGAAAGAGGGAACAGTCCTTTCTCCTGAATGCCCTGGATCTGGGGGGAGCAAGGAGCAGGTCAGACTAGAGAAGCTGCGGAAGAAGAGAGTTCTCAGGCGGGAAAAGTCCCCAAGTCCACACCAAGGAGGAAACGCTGGGGCTCAAAAACCTCTGGTAGGAACAGGACCCGCCTCTCTGAAGGCAATAAAAATCAAAAGCTTTAAAACAATCCTACCTTTTGATCCTGAAATGCTACTTCTCGGAATTTGTCCTAAGAAAATAATAAAAGATTTACATAAAAAACATGTTTCTTGCAGTTATTTTCATTGTAAAAAAAAAAAAAGTGAAAGTGAGTGAAGTGCCTGATTGTGTCCTATAACATATCACCTGATGGGGTTCACCATATGACCACTAAAAAAATCTGAAAAGAGTATTTAACATGAAAAAATACAACAGGCTGTTAAACGTATTAGATATTAAAACTTTGCATATATAATCATCTGAATTTTCTTAGAAAAATGTATGCATATCAAGGAGTGGCAAGAAATATCACAAAACATTAAAGGAGGTTATCTTTGGGTGGTGAGATGCTGGGTGACTTTTTATATTTGTCTGCATTTCTCAAAGCTTCTATAAGAAACATGGATTGTACTTGTAGTTTTCTTTTTTAAGCTATTAATTTTTTTGCAGGGAAATTACGAGTATCAACCTTTAGACAGATTTTCTTCCACTCCGTCCTCTCCCATATCCCCTCCCAGGGGATGGGGGGCGCAGATGGACTCATGAAGCCACCTCACTTCTTCTGCACCCCTCTTGTTACCTGGCTCCTGAAGGAGAACAGAGCCGCTGGGATGTTTTTCCTTCGCTTCTCCGTTGGAGCTGAAGCCTGGTGGTACTCTGAAATCCTTGGAGGGGAAAAATATCACCACCCAAATGTGTGCAGACAAACAACCTTCTCGCTAGATGCTCACATCAGGGCAGCAGTGACGTTAAGATCTCCTGAGGGAGGAGGCTGACTCACTGACTCACAGGCAGGTGGGGGTGGGGCTGAGTGACTGACTCTGCCACCGCTGATGTCAAATCCTGTCACCCACATAGCAACCAGAGCTCCATTCTGTGAGGGAGCCACAGGAAAACGCAGAGGGGCTGATGGGAGGGGAGGTGTCCAGTGTATGAGATTATATTATTCTGGAAACCCTTCCCAGAGCAAAGCGCGGCGGCTAAAAGCTACCTTGGAGTAGGATGCAAAAGTCAAACATCCAAAGAAGCCACTGCTCGCTCCCATTAAGAAGCCGAATGGGACTGAAATGCTGAAATAGCCAAACCAAGGGACTCGGGTCCAAAGAATTTTCCCCAATGGTGCTGGTGTCAGCAGTTCCTGCAATTATTATGGAAACCCGGTGACCCAATTTCCTCGACCGTCTTTTCACTCCAGAGAAATGCAAAGATGTTGACCTTAAAACTTAAGGCCAACGGGAATTTTAAAATGCCACAGTAAACACTCGTGCCTCATGGAAAAAAGATGGAAATCGCTGCTCCAAAAGCAAACTGGGAGTTACTACTGTACTTACCACAAACACTTAGGGCTGCAGAGAAAGGACTGGATCCCAAATGCTTCGTTGTTTTTTTGTTTTTTGTTTTTTGCAGCAGGCCGAAATGAATAAGTTTCCCTCACTCACAAGGAGGGTAGCACTAATCAGGCCACTTTCAACGGTTACCTCACAGTGTTCCCATGACTCCTGGGAAGTTCCCGGTCTTTCCTAGACTAGGGAAAGGTTTGCTAAGGCGAGGAAATACCCTTGGAATTTTCCTTAGAAATTCCCACAGCTTCCCTGCCGGCCTGTCTCCCCAGCCCCAGACATCTGACCCTGTACTTGGTCCTGGCTGACCTGCATCCATCTGTCCATCTACCTCCGCCCAGACCGTGCTGCACATCACTTGCTGGATGGTTCTCCCCAGCACAGGCAGTCCGCCTCAGCCAGCGCTGGGGCCTGAGTCCACAGGGAGGCCCTGAAGTACGGCTCCACCCACCCAGGTCAGAGGCCCCAGAGCACCCTGAGGCGGCCTCCTAAACCTCAATCCAGGCTCTAGATTTAACCCCATCTGGCCTTTCCTACTCAGAAGGCCCAGGGCCCAGACAGACTGCTCTCATTTCTTGAAGTAGCCTGGAAAAAGGGCGGTTTGGGGCAGTGACAACAGGAAGCTGTGAAGGCAGTCACACAGGCCATGTCCCTAACATGTCACCTTCGAATAGGGCCCAGAGAAACATTTTCTTTTTTAATGAGAAGCAGCCAGCCAGTAGTCAAAAGCTGAGGCTTTGGAGATTGACAGGGGCCAATCGCCCTGGCTGCACGGCCTCAGACAATTCACTTAGTAAGTTCACATGGCCCATTTCCTCTCCTGGAAAAAGCAGGATAGGCAATACCTTGCAAGAATACTGTAAAAACTAGAGATAACGTGTCAAATGCCTGGCACATCGTAGGTGTTTAATAAACAGCAGTTATAATGAAGATGAAATAGAGGCAGAGAGAACAGTAAGGGGATAATGAAAGCCTGTCGATGCCCCTCTTGCAAAGTTAGGGACAGCTATACTACCAGACACACGAGTTGAGCTACCAAGATCACACCTCATCCAGGCCTGTTTCTACTCAGCCCCAGCCCAGGGCACTGTAGCAATGCCAACATTTTGTCTAAGGAAAGGTTATGTCCATAGGACCAATGTCAGAGAGGGCAACAATGCGAAAGGCCATCTAGTCAGCACCCTATTTTATAGTTAAAGAAACTGAAGCCCAGAGGGATAAAAGAAATCAGTCGGTTAAAGACTTAAAACCAAAGCCACAGTTACAATTCAGGTCTCCAGCCTGCCAGCTGAGTAGCTCTTCCCTGCACCCTCAAAGTACCTGTGGGGGTCACACACTGGGTGGCTCGGGGCCATGGTCACGCAGGCAGCCCACAGAGCACACCCACATTCACAAGGCACATGCCTTTTCCATGGGCAGGTATGTCTTTTATTTAATACGCAGCTCCTCCAAAATACAAGAGGTCAGTGAATTGCAAATACCCACCAGATCACCTGTCACCTTAAAAACACAGTAGTCTGTCTCCTGCCACCCACCCCACAAGTCCAGCCTGGGGACCTACTCTGCCCTCCCGATGCTATTAGCGCTCCACATGGGTGCAGAAGTGCAGGGGGGCAGCTCCCACATGGGCATGGCACAGGGACGGGGCATCCCCACATGTGCGCATGGGCAGGAGTCAGGGCACTGCTTCTCTGGGCCAGTTCAACAGGGTCCCACTGCAGCACTGGTGAGGTAAATAATGGTGCACACACCAATCAAACCTGGCTTTCCAAGAATACTCAATAAGGGAAACTTCTGAAGGCATAACATTAAAAGACAGGACACAAACTTCATCTCCAATTTCCTACCTTTAATATTTTAACAGATTTTATAAATGTGTCTATATCTATCTATCTGTCTATCTATCCATCTATCTACACACACACACACCATTTCCCCCAAAATAAGACCTAGTCAGAAAATAAGCTCTCACATGATTTTAGGTGCCAAATATGGCACCTTGGCATACTGAATATTTTAAGCTGAAGGCGTTTGTGGAAAAGGCACCCTTCTCCCTGAAACAGGTCATAAATCCTCATGTGAGGGGTGTGTGCCCTCCATATCCTGGAGGAGTCATACTACGGCTTCTTCTCTGGCTAGGTCTTATTTTCAGGGAAGCATGGTATATATACACACATATATAAAGTGCTAAGAAGAAATGCATATTAACAGTGGTTATTGCTGGGCTGAGGGCTAATGGGTGGCTTCTTAAAAAATATTGCCTGAATTTTCTTGAATGAGCATGTATTACTTTTATTTTTAAAAAGTCAGAAAGTTGCCAGTTAAGGCATAGCAGGAAGGTGAGCACCCGTTCAATTTTTCCTCCCGTGCTCCAGCAGACTGTATTTTGGCAGCCCATTCTCCCAGGCAATGAAGAGGCTAGACAAAATTCATCTCCCTTCCTGACATCTGGTCTTTTCTGAAGACTGATTTGAAATTACTCTTGCCTCAGATTTTAACAAGGCACCCTCACTGCCTCCAGGCCTGGAGGTCAACGCTGATTAAATAAGGCCTGAAGCCCGTACCAGCCGGCTCAAGGTGAGGGGAACCTCCAGGGCCCGGCCAGTGGCAGCCTGGAGGGCGCGCCAGCCTGTGAGCCTTAACATTCCTTTCCCCAGCTGCCAGAGTCGGGGAACAGGCAGAAATATGTACTTGCAAACATTTGCCCTCTTGCCAGTCCCCAACTACACGGTGTCCTCAAGTCAAAGCAACAGCTGAAAACCAGCTGAAGATGTCTTCCGTAGAAACATGCACATGACCTGCACATACTCTGCTTTGGCTTCTTTAAAAAAGAAAGTATCTGTGTATTTTTTTTTAAAATTTACTTTTTGCTTTGTCAGGTTGTCAGGAGACCACAGACATTTCCTGGGAAGCATGGCAAGGGGGGGTGAATGTGGGAAACCTCTTGCGCAAGAACTCAAAAGATTAAGAAGACGTAGCCCGCTAGGTTCAAATCCTGGTGCTAAGTCACCGAAGCCACATAACAGGACAAGTTGCTTAACTCCCTGAATGTCAGTTCCCCCTTCTGTAGAAGGATGCAAATCACAGCTACTGTAGTGTGACTGACGCTCTTAAGACAACTGTGGTAAATACTGTACAAAACAGCCTTTTCTTTTGTACATGACAAACTCGTAAAGGTATGTTATGTCTTGACCGTCAATAACTTAGAGGCCGTGGTAGGTGGGAAACTCTTATTTGGCAAACGCTGTGTGCAGTGGGACTGTGATCAGCCTTAGAGGAGCTGAGGGAGTGGTGACAGCCATGACAACCTGAAGTGGGCCTCCAGGCTCATCTGAGTGGCAGCCTCCCGCCAGGCTCTTCCTTGTCCCCCGCTTTCTCAAGTAAATACGAACAGGACATTCATCTCTGGTACATGCACCAAAGAAGACTCCAGACCTGGTGTGCAGATACCTCAACACCAAATGATACAGAATTTCCCCTGAAAACCTGAAACAACATCCATCCCACTCTGTAGCAACATCCCTCCAAGCCCCCCACTTCCAGCCCGGGCCCTAAATGCTCCCTCATGCACACAAGGCATGAACCTGGACAGCCTGCCCGCCTGACAGGTGGCCGGGGCTGCAGCTCTGAGCTGGAGCCAGAATCCCCCCCAGCCCCTTCGCCAGCTGGGCCCCGAAAACACAGCTGTTGACCCGTTTACCCACTCCCACACAACCGCATTCACACGGAGCGGAACCTGAGGCTCACACACCTGAAGCAGCTTAGCCCAAGTCTTTAATTACTGCCATAGGTCTTGGCTGAAGGCCTTGGAGGCTCAGGTGTCTACAGAGTGAACTATGCAGACATCGGGGGGGCATCCATGCTGGAAGCCAGGGTCTATCCTGATCAAGTTACTCTCAGCACAGGCTTGGCAGCCCCGGATGTCAATTTTGAGTTAAGTTGCCTCTGCAAATGTTCTGGGTGGCATGCCTCTCCGGCTCTCCAGATGTAAATGGGGATGCAGTTAGTCCACCACTCAACAGCTCCTATACCTTAAAAAGGAAATACACATTAAATCAATAGGAGCATTTCAGCCAACTGCCAAACGGCTGAGGTCTGGTCCCAGGGTTGGACAGCAGAACCAGGTGCCATGACAATAATGGGTTCTAAGCCTGGCTCTGCTATATACTACCTGGGCGACCCTGAACGGTGTGTCACTTTACCTCTGTGGGCCGAGCTTCTACAACCGTAAAATTTGGACTTGGGGACTAGCTCCTGTTTCAGGTTTTTCAGCTTCAAAAGCTTGATTCTGGGAGTCTCCCCACAGCTGTCAATGCATGAGAAAACACCGCTGATTACGAAATCACCCTTGCTCCAGGCCCTGACCTGCGGTCCAGTTCCTCACGTAAACGGGAAGACCTCTGTCTCCCCTCTAGCCCCCGCAAAGCAGGCCCAGGGCCCGGTGCCACAGGCCGAAGGGACTGGGCGCCAAGGCGGTCCCAACCAGGAGAGAGCAAACGCGCACGTCCACACGCCTTCGAGCCCCACGTGCACTGCTCCTTTAAATGCTCTGGCCCTTTAACTGCTCTCACCGCGCCCACCCCCAGCTCAAGCTTGGGCGGTGAGGAGGACACCGCCCCGGCTGAAGGCCCGAGGCCCGGGGGGCAACTCCCCGAGCTCCTTCCAAGCCCCCAGTTCCGGGCCGGCCCCCCTCGTGGCTGTCCCGGCGTTCTCCTCTCTCCCACCCCCGCGCCGGCCGCAGAGGCCCGGACAGCGGCGCGCGCAGGGAGGGCAGCCCGGAACTGGTGAAGGGGCCGCAAGCGGCCTCGGTGAGGGGCGCTCGGAGGGCAGTGCCCGGCCCGCGCGTCGCGGCTCCACCCCGCGCCCTCCGTGCTGCAGGTGACTGGACCCCGGCCGCAAGCCCCAGGCCCGCCCCGCCCGCCCGCTCACCTGCTCCGCCACGGCGCTCCGGCCGTCTTGACGCGGGTGGCCCAGCGCTGGGCTGGACCCCGCTCGGGCGCAGGCCCCGCCCCCGGCTCCGCCCCGTTGGCGTCGCCACGTTCCCGCGCCCCACTGCGCCCCAGCTGGAGCCCTGGCCCAGTCCTGCACGCGGAGCGCCCGGACCCGCCTGGTGTCACGGTGCGCGGAGGTCGGGTTACACCTGACTCGGGACTGGGCACCCACCGTAGGCGGAGTGGAGGCTGGGCCTGTAACCTAACGGGGGCCTGGCAGCGCCGTGGGGCAGTAGCACATTTACTCGGTGACAGGTCTCATTTCCTGGTAGTGTTAGGTACGTTAGCATCTCCCGGACCCCTCGCCCCCGCCCCCACGAAGGATTTACTTACTTTAGGAGAGTCCTAGTGGCCTGGTGCTAACATCATGGGAATTTTCCTTGTCTGTCTTCTAAAGCTTTGGAACCACCGGGAGCTCTGGATAAAATTGAACAGGGATGAACTTACTACGGATGACCTGAGATTTGGCCTACAGAGTTGTGATTCCAAGATTTGGGGGTCCATGAGGTGAGTTGAGATCGTCAATAATTTGACATTTCTGAGTAGACTCCCTTTTTAAAAAAAATTAAGGTGAATTTCACATAACATAAAATAAACCATTTTAAAGTGTACAATTCGGGCCGGCGGAGTGGCTCAGTTGGTTAAGAGCGCGCTCAAGAGTGTGAGTTCTGAGCAACAGCGGTTCAAATCCCCCCCAAGCTGAACTGCCAACAGGTGGCAGGATGGCTCAGCTTAAAAAAATAAAATGAAATGAAAATAAAAAAGTATAGTGTACAATTCGATGGCATTTAGTACATTTACAGTATTGTGCAATTCCAGTCATCTCTATCTAGTTCCAAAACGTTTGCATCGCTCCAAAGTAAAACCCGTTAAACACTTAAATGGAATCACACAGTATGTGACCTTTTGTGTCTGGCTTCTTTTGCTCAGCATAATGTTTTCAAGGTTCATCCATACATGGTGGCATGTGTCAGCACTTCATTCCTTTTTATGGCTGAATGATACTCCATTGCATGGATATACCACAGTTTATTTATCCATTGATGGACATCTGGGCTGTTTCTACCTTTTGGCTATTGTCCGTAGTGCTGCTATAAACATGTGTGTGCACATATTTGAGTACCTTTTTCAGTTCTTTTTGGTACATACCCAGAAATTGAATTGCTGGATCATATGGAAATTCTATGTTTAACTTTTTGAGGAACCACGAAACTGTTTTCCACAGAGGCTGAACCATTTTACATTTCTACCAGCAATGAACAGAAGGTTCCAATTTCTCCACAACCTCCAACACTGTTATTTTCCATTTTTAAAATTATCATTATCATTATTATTGCTTTCCTAGAGGGCATAAAGGGGTACCTTATTCTGGTTTTGGTTTATATCTCCCTATTAACTAGTGATGTTGAACATCTTGCATGTGCTTGTTGGCCATTTGTATATCTTCTTTGGAGAAATATCTATTTCCCCATTTTTAAATTGGGTTATCTCTTTGTTGTTGAGTTGTAAGAGTTCTTTATATATTCTGGATACTAGATCCCTAGCAGATATCTGATTTGCAAGTATAATTTACCATTCTGTAGGTTGTCTTTCTGATAATGTCCTTCAACGTACACATGCCTTTAATTTTGATGAAGTCCAGTTTGCCTATCTTCTTCTTTTGTTGCTTGTGCATTTGGTGTCATATCTAAGAATGTATTGTCAAATCTAGCCATGAAGATTTACTTCTGTGTTTTCTTCTAAGAGTTTTATGGTTTCAGCGCTTATATTTAGGTTGGGGATCCATTTTGAGTTAGTTCTTATATATGATGTGAGGTCTTTTGCACGTGGATATCCAATTGTCCCAGCACCATTTGTTGAAGAGACTGTCCTTTCTCCAATGAATGGTTTGGGCCCCCTTGTCAAAAATCAATTGACCATAGACAAATGGGGAAAACCAAATATCTTTTAAAAGCTTTTAAAATGCAAATTAACCCAAGATGGAAATGGGGCCAGTCAGCATGTTCACAGACAAAATCATGGTCTTTGATACATTAGAGAAATAAATTACAATTAACAGAATTATAAAATAATAGGTTCTTTAAAAGGCAAGACACTTGAGGATCACAAACTCCAGCTATAACAGATGCATGAGGCCTCTTTGCAGAATCTCTGAAAAAGGACTGCACAGCCTGGTTTGGTGTTGTTTTGGGGACTTTCAGTGTCATACTTTATTGAGAGGTTGAATTTCAGCCCCTAAAGTGAAACGTAAGTACTCATAAAATGAATTAGGAAGTATTCCCTCTTCTATTTTTTGATAGAGTTTGGGAAGAATTGGTGTTAATTCTTCTTTACAGGTTTTGTAGAATTTACCCAGAAAAGTCATTTGATCCTGCCTTTGGGGAGATTTTTGATCACTGATTTAATCTCTTATTACTGACCTAATCTCTTTACTTTTTATAGGTTTGCTCAGATTTTTCTATTTCTTCTTGAGTCAGTTTTGGTAGTTTGAATGTTTGTAGGAATTTGTCCATTTCGTCTAGGTCATCTAATTTGTTGATGTACATATGTTCATAGTGTTCTCTTATAATCTTTTTTTCTGTAAAGATCACTTTTGTTTCTGATTTTAGTTATTTGCATCTTCTCTCTTTTTTTCCTTAGTCAGCCTACCTAAAGATTTGCCAATTTTGTTGATTTTTTTCAAATTTTTCATTTCAGCTATTGTACATTTCAGCTCCAGAATTATTTCTAATTAGTTCCCTTTAATAATTTCTATCCCTTTGTTAATATTCTCTATTTACGCATTGATTGTTCTCTGGCTTCCTTTTGGTCTTTGTCTATGGTTTCCTTTAGCTATTTAAGCATATTTAAGACAGTTCATTGTCTCAGCAAGTCCAATGTCTGGGCTTTCTTAAGGATGGTTTCTGTCAATTATTTTCCTGTGAATGAGTCATACTTTTTCTTTGTATGCCTTGTAATTTTTTGTTGAAACTGGACATTTTGAATATTATAATTTGATAACTCTGGAAATCAGATTCTGTCCCCAGTTCACAAGGTTTACTGTTATTGCTTATTAAGGGCTGCAGTCATCTGTTTAGTGACATTTTCAAACTAATTTTTGCAGAGTGTATTCCTTATCAAACTAATTTTTGCAGAGTGTAGTCACTGAAGTCTCTGTTCCATTATCTCATTGGTCAGCTACTGACCAGACACCGATCTCTTTAAACACTTAGAGTCAAAAAACAAAACAAAACAAATCCTAAAAGACACCCCTCCTGGTCTTTGCAGATTGGTTTTGAGCTGGGCACTCCTGCCACGCTTAGCCAGGCCACCTACAACTCTGCGTTAGCCTGATTTCCTGCTAGCATGAAGCCCAGAGGTCAGCCAAAGGTACAGCCTAGGGTCCTTTCAGGTCTTTTCTGAGCATGTGTCTGGCCCTGGGCACATGTGTTGCAGCCTAGATTCCCCAGTATATAAAGTAGCCCTTCAAAGCCCTTATTCCCCCAGTATCTTCCTCCTCAGCCTCCTTCTTCCCAGGCTTTTTGGTCTGTCTGCTGCTTATCCCATCTGCTGTTCCTGGTCCCAGACAGCTATGGGTAGTATATGTCTTTAAATGCTTTCAACAGATGCCACCTGGGAAGTTGCTCCAGTCTGAGGGGGATGAAGCAAAGGTTAGCCTCTGCACTAGTCCCTCTGGGAACTGCCAGCCAGGTCAAAGTGCACAACCACGTTTTTGAGAATAAGACCCATATTGCCCACTCTGGCACTAGCAAGCCACACCAGGAATTTGGGCTGTTGTCCCCATGGCTGCTGCTGGGCTTGGGAATAGGAGACGGTAGGTGGGGAAGCAAAAATGCTGCAACTCTTTCTTACTGAATTTTAGTAGCCTCTTCATTAATCATTACCCTGGTTGTTCTAAGGCTTTAATTAGATTCCAGGGATCAAAAAAAAAAATCTGATTCTGTCACTTTTTGCCAGCTGAATGGTTGCTTAAGCGGAGGGAATGATTTTTGGAGCTCCTTGTCTGCAATTTCCCATGACCTCACTCCCAAGTAGCCTCACTTTTAACACTGGGCGCTATTGATTGCAGTTTTTTTCTCCTTGATACTGTGCTCTCCTTGTTTCCCTCTTTCATTGTGGATGTCACCTTCTCTGCCCATCCTTGTTTCCAGGCCTCAGTGGGGCTCTGTCCTCACGGTACACACTCTCCTTGGGGAACCCAGCCATGCCCAGAGTTGCCAACTTATGTTAATGAAGCCCAACCCTGAATCTCCAACTTAGTCCTCCCCACAGAGCCCCAGACACATAGATAACTGACCATGGACCACTCGACTCAGAAATCCCACAGACCACGCTAGGTAAAGCCATGTAAATTGTGGCTCATAGCATGGAAGGAGAAGGGGCATGTCCTTACTCTTATTCTTCTTGTTATCTGGAATATAGAGGCGATCGCTGAAGCTCAGGCAGCCGCCTCGGACTATGGTCAACATGAGGATGGTGAAACAACAAAATGGAAGGAATTCTGTCTGATGATCATGGAGCCACTAGCTTAGAATTGCTTGCCTCCTGCCTTTGTCTCAGGGACGAAAAAACAACTTTTATCTTGTTTATGCCATTGTGATTCCCTCACATGCAGCTAAACCCAAGCTTGCTTAACACACAAGACCTTTCCGGCCCCACTCCCCTTATGCCATGTGCTCCAGTGGTGGTGCTAAACCAAGCGACGCTATTTCTGCTTCTGTTCCTTTGCATAGTACTTACTGCAGTGTGTTATAAGGAGCTATTCACTTGTCTTCCGCACTCCCATGAACATCTCTAGACCAGGCACTGTACCTTTCTTGGATTCCTGCCATGTGATCTTTTTTAAGGCAAGAAAGAGAGGGATAAGGAATGAATGTTTTTGGAGTCCCAATGATATGTGCTTTCCTTTTATTTCTCTTAATTATGGGGGCGACTCTGTGAGGGTTTGGGCATTCGTATTCTTTTTGACACGGGGAAATGGAGGTCCACAAAGACAAAGATGTTTCCCAAATG